CATACATATAGCTCAGATCATCAAAACTTGGTCAACCGAAGCTGCAAATTTCCAGCTTAAACTCTCGGCAACCATTTTCTTCACAAACAGATTTTTCTATAACTTAAGTTATCATCTAACCACACAATCCTCACATGCATGTCCTTAAACAACTTCATCAACCCATAAACAACTAGTTTAAGTCCAGAAATTTACCTCAGCTTAAGACTTAGCTCACACGCCAAGCAGCTGCAAAATTTTCCTCCTCTCGGCTTTGCTCACGCACGCAGGGTTGGTTGGTCTGAGTTCAGTGGTTGCAGTTGTAGTGATTGTGGTTGAATTGAGCACGGCTGGTTGAGGTGAAGAATAATGGCAGCTCTCAGATGATGGAGAAAGTAATGAAGCTCACGCAATTGTCTCCTGCTCTCACCCTCTCTCGGACAGTTCAAGTACCGAAGCTCGCACCGCTCTCTTTCTGGCTTCTCTCGTCAATGATACCAAGGCAGAGAAATGTTGTTGTGAGCTCAGCTGGGAGCTCAACTCATGCGCAAGAAAGCTGAGAAAATCTTCCTTCCTCTCGGCTCGCACGCACAGGTTTGGTTCGCTTGGCTGTGGCAGATGGTGGAGCTGGTGGTTGCTGCGGTGATGGTGTTGGTTGGAAGATGATTGCAGCTAGTGGAGGTTGAAGAGAAACGAAGGGGACTCACGCACAACTTCTCCCTCTCTTCCTTCGAGCTCACGGACAGAAACAAGAAAGATTGCAGCTCCCGAGTTTTTTTCTTTTTTTTTCCAGATGCAAGGTGCGGCTCCCTCTTTGTCTCTCTGGTCGATGATTCCGATGTGAGGTGGAGTGGTAATGCCAAGTTGTGATAGTGGAGAGAAATCTTGTTGTGTTCTAAGGTAGTGGAATGGAATGAGTGGCGGATGAGGGAGGTAGAGTGTTTTAGAGGTTATAAGTCGGCATAGAGATGGAAGGTGCTGGAATGTAAAATGGAAATGGATTCGGCAGAAATAGAATTTTGATTTTTTGATTTTTTGATTTTTTGATTTTTTGATTTTTTTTTGAAACAAACAAAATTGATAATAATAAAAACAAAATAATTAACATTTGATGAAAAATAAACTAGAACAATAAAGTGCAATTTCCATTTCTTTTCCATTTCCTATTTTCATCGTTTTTCTCTTTTTTTTTCTTTCTTTTTCTTTTTTCAAAATAACTTAACAAAAATAAACAAAATGCCAAAAGATTGAATTTAGAAGACATAAAACATATTTTGTGGGCAATTTTCTTTTTTCTTTCTTTTCTCTCCTCTTTTCTTTTCACTTTCTCATTTTCATTCATTTTCCAAGAGATTCTATGCTAACAACTTAAAAATAAAAATAAAAACTAAAACTAAAACTAAAAATCGAATAAAACTAAAATGAAAAAATTAAAAATAAACAGCAAATGAAATTACACCAAAATTTGGTGTCTACAGTTTGCCCCTCTTTGTCTGAGTTTTGAAAAAACTTGAGACAAAGAAGTAGACACCAAATACTTACCTGTGTTATTCGGCTGCAATGGACGCTTCTGAAATGAGGATCGACCTCTTTAACATTTTTTTTTTTTTAAAATGGAATTGACCCAAACAGGAAATTAAAACGGGACTGACCCGAGCAGAAATTTAAAATTGGGACTGACTAGAGAAGGAAATTCAAATCATGGGACTGGCCCGAACAAGCTTTAATCGCGGGACTGACCCGAATGAGCTTTTGAATCGTGGGACTGACCCGAATGAGCTTTTGATCGAGGGACTGACCCGAAAATGCTTTTGATCGAGGGACTGACCCGAATGAGCTTTTGATCGAGGGACTGACCCGAAAATGCTTTTGATCGAGGGACTGACCCGAATGAGCTTTTGATCGAGGGACTGACCCGAAAATGCTTTTGATCGAGGGACTGACCCGAATGAGCTTTTGAATCGTGGGACTGACCCGAATGAGCTTTTGATCGAGGGACTGACCCGAAAATGCTTTTGATCGAGGGACTGACCCGAATGAGCTTTTGATCGAGGGACTGACCCGAAAATGCTTTTGATCGAGGGACTGACCCGAATGAGCTTTTGATCGAGGGACTGACCCGAAAATGCTTTTGATCGAGGGACTGACCCGAAAATGTTTTTGATCGTCGGTCAGTGGGATTAAACCCGATCCTGCCGTGACGAAATTTGATTCGATTTTTGTTTTTGATTGATGATTTTTGCTTCTTTTTGACTTTTCTTTTTGACTTTTCAAAATCTTTACAAAAAATTAATTTGCCCCAGTATGATGAATTTTTGCTATTTGAGTCCAGAGTTGATTCTGTATCGCCATGCTGTTGCATTTTTTGATGAAATTTGCTTGCGACATTTTCAATCTGCCTTTGTTCATTAGAACTCTTTCCGACACCGATTTCAGTGCGAGGTGTGATTGTTTTCATCCATGCATGAAATTTCCTACAAAAGAGAAAAAACAAAGGAATTGCCACCATTATTTGATCCGTTTGTCCTTGAGAATCGTGTAAACATGAGTCTTTGGATGCCTTCGTCAAAGTTGACCGTGGCATCTGACTTGGTTGGATTTGTCATTTCTAAACGTCTCTGATTTTTCCCGACTAACCGAGCGTGCATTTTGCCATATTGTGAAGCTTGCGTAACCGACCTTGCTGAATTTCAACCATTTTCGCAAGATGACTGAACCCAAGTATGCTTTGAATAAACCATGGGGTTATCATTCACCAAAATTCGATGATTAAAAAGTAATTTCACCTATCATGCAGAAATGAATATGTGAAAGAATGCAAACACAAACCATTTGTGCTTAAAGCCTACAAAAATGCCATGAATACAAGCAATTGAGAAAAAATGAGCTTCCTAAGAATGAATTTGCTAAAGAAATATTTTTACAAAACGACACAGTTTTGGCCAACGGATGTCATATTCGAGTTCCTGAATATCTTTGTTCTGCAATTCGACACTGGCAGAAGTATTATGAAGAGAAATTCCAAATGAACCAAGTCATCAACTGTTCTTCCTCGTGTTTGCTCATTGAAGAAACCTACCTAGCGCCCTTTCGGGTTTTCATCAAGGTTGCCCCCACCCCTTTTTTTTTGTTTTGTTTTGTCTTTTCTCTTTTTTTCTTTTTTTTCTTTTTTTCCTTTTTTTTCTTTTTGAGGTGCCCTTTCGGGTTTTTACGTAAGAAAGCAATGGAAGAGCTCAACCATAATCGCCTCAGAAGTATGAGTTAAAGATTTCTGACATCAGTAAAATGCACTTCCCTTGTAAGATTAAGCGAAGGCATTATGGACATCACTTGTCAGTTGATTAGCAAACTTTCCAATAGAAATATAGCAATTGACGAAAGTCAGGACTTTGGGCTTTTGTAATGGAGTCAGGTGGGATATGTCAAGAAAAGTTAAGGCTTGAAAACAATTTGCTCTTATGAGAGGTGAAATAACCTGAGATTGCATCATTTGAAATCATCTTCAATTTCGAACGAAACTGAGGGAAATTTGCCCCAGTTTGATTGAATTTTCTCTCTTTGCTTTTTCCATTGCATCTTCCTCACTTTTTGCATTTTTCTTCAAAGCTAAATTTGCCCCAGTATGGGGTTCTCTTTTCCTTTTCATTTTTTTTTTTGATTTGTCTTTTGGCCTTTTGCCATTCTTTTGAACTTTTTCAAAAATTTGCCCCAGTGTAGGGTTTTCTGCTTTTTCTTTCTCTTTCAAAATAAATTTGCCCCAGTGTAGGGTTTTCTTTTCTTTTGTTCATCTCTTTTCCAAAATAACTTGGCCCCAGTGTGGGGTTTGCAACTCTCAGGGGCTGCCAAACGAAAATTACTGCTCTGATGGCTCAAAAGGGATAACTAGGGATGAAATGTTTTGATTGAAAAGGAAGATGGCCTGACTTTTACCTCGTCCCTTGCATGATTTCCAAAAGAAATTTGCATAATCAAAAATAAAGACTTCTTACACATGTCTGATTTGATAGGTTGAGAGAATGTTTACCCATCCATCTCTTCAAGGATAAGTGCTCCACTCGGTGGCACCTTTTTGAATGACAAATGTCCTTACCAGTTTAGATCAAATTCGTCTTTGACTTCATCTTGCATTGGCAAAACTCGCTTTAACTCTTTGTCCTCCTTCTCTAAAGGCTCGGAGGCGGACCTTTTTGTTATGAACACAGGCCACGCACTTTGATAACATTAGCCATGGCACATGGCGTTCAGCTGCTTTTGATCCATCAAAATCAATTGTCGGTGACGCTGCTTTAATCAATCAGCTTCGAACTTGGCAAAGAAGGGATTTTCTCAATGAAGAGATTTTTCAATGAAGGCTTCCTCAATGAACGAATTCTTAATAAAGGGATTTCTCAATGAAGGCTTTCTCAATGAAGGAATTCCTCAATGAAGACTTTCTCAATGAAGGAATTTCTCAGCTTTAAAATGCTATAGTCTATAAAAATATAAATTTGAAAATAAAAAAGATATTTATAAAGAAATATACTACCACCAATTTAACTCTATATGTTCAAAACTAATTTTTTATGAACCTTATATTTTTTTCCAACTTCTTCTCAACCCGTGCCCAAGTCTTGAAATTGTATTGATCATTATAAAAATTAACTCAAAATAAACAAAGAAATCATAACCCATTCTATCACAATCATAAACAGTAAAAAATAAACAAAATTCAATTTACTCTATAAATTAGAAATATAAAATCACATAGTCATCCAAAAAAATGAGTATGAGAAAATGTTGGAGTAAGGAGAAGGAGAAGAAAGTGACTCTTATTTCTTTTTTTCTTTTTTTTTTAGGCTCATTTATTTGATATGTATCAAGTGAATTATGTATCAAGTGAGGGTTAATATGGTCTTTTTGCAGTTGCTAGGGAGATAAGTGATTTTTTAAAATCTTAAGGGCCAAGTGATATTAGGAGAAATCTCAAGGGAGTTTTAACTTTTAAGAGTGTATCTTTGACTTCAATTTTAAAAATTCAGTGTCCCTCTATTTTTAATGCGTTTGAATAGAAAATACCTGTCTTGATCAGAACACTTTTTTTTTTCTAACATTTTCTTGACGAAACCCAAGAATTTGTCTTGATCAGAACACTTAGGAGTTGTTTTTAATGCGTTTGAATAGAAAAATGTCAAGTCGAGTTTTCTCGCAAGCCACTTGATTCTTTTGTAACTCTGATTGCAACAATGTCAATTACTATAAGATAACGATCAATGTGAAGTGGTTATATTATTTAAAGTCGTACATCCAGTCCAAGCAGTTGCTCCCAACTCGAGAAAAGGTTGACAGTGAATTAAAAAGTGCACATGCTATTGTGTTTTTGTCTTGCATTGAATAGTAATTCTAGTTAATGGTCATTATATTAAATATAAAGGCAACGAACGAAATTTGACCCAAAAAGTTTAAAAGAACTAGCATCTATGTCCTTTTTTTTTTTTAATCCATTTTGCATCAAGTTTCCAGGCAATTAGGAGGTAATTCATCGCAATGATTTTGTACTCATCACAATACTATCAGGTGGCAAATTGGATGGCTAGAAAATGGTCGATTAAGACAGTTGGACCAACTATTTTGAAGGACAACAAACATCACGGGGCTTGTCTAGTCGAGATGAAGTCAGATGCTTGCCTAAAATGGTTGGACGAAAGAGATTGTAGCTCAGTTATTTATGTATCATTAGGTAGCGTGGCTGTACTTGGAGAAGAACAAATGGAAGAGCTTGCTAGGGGCATAGCCAAGAGTGACCACCACTTCTTATGGATGGTTAGAGATTCGGAAGAGTGCAAACTTCCAGCCAATTTCAAGTCTGAAATATCAGAAAAAGGTCTAATTGTCAACTGGTGTCCTCAACTTGAAGTTTTGGCACATCAAGCCTTGTCATGTTTCATGACACACTGCGGCTGGAATTCGATGCTTGAAGCACTGATTTCGGGTGTGCCAATGATAGCTATGCCACAGATTGTTGATCAATTCACAAATGCAAAGTTTGTCGCAGATGTATGGCAGACTGGGGTTCGAGTCAAGGCCAATGACAAGGGAATTGTTACTAGAGAAGAAATTTCAATGTCCGTAAAGGCAGTTACTGAGGGCGAGAGCGCAAAGGAATTCAGAAGAAATGCTGAGAAGTGGAAGGAACTGGCACAAGAGGCTGTACACCAAGGTGGAAGTTCTCATAACAACATTGATGAGTTCGTTTCACAAGTTTTGAGCGTCTAGTTAATTTCATTTAGCTACAAAATCAGGTCACGTGAAAGCCTCATAAGCATCTATGGCAGACAATAGTATTATATTGTTGATTCAATCAATTGATGCAAACCTGTCATGCTTGTGTACGAGAATAATAGAAAATTAATAAAGTTTATTGGATTAATCGTGTAAATAAGATAGTATGCATTTTCATAATTTCTTTTAAGTATAACTGTAAAACAAATCCATTTAACTAAATTTACCCATATCCGCCCATGAATAGATGGGTATGGGTATCTTAAATTTTTGCATATGAGTATTATTGAGTAACCCATTAAACCCAATAAACCCATTTAGAATTGTCTTCCCCCAAACCTCCTCTCCTCCCCACACCCATTTTGTTTTTCAAATTTTTCATTTTGTCATGATGTTAATTACTTTTGTTTCATTATTATTATTATTTGTTGGTTTTATCTTATCATTTTATTTTCTCTTAGTTTGTTAACTTACTCATTTTTTAGCATTACCAATTTATGACAAGTTTTAGCCTCTTTTCTTGCTTTTCCAAAAAAATTTTAAATTTACACATGAAAAAAATACTAGAGGTTCAAAATTTTTGGATTAAGTTTTTATGTTAACTTTTATAGTACTTAGTTCAAATTTTTATATTCTTATTGTTTAATTATTAAATAATATGTAATTTTGCGACATAGAGTACGGATGAAAAAAAAATTGATAATTAGGCTTATTAAGCATTATAAGTAAATATTTAAAACTAATGATGGGTGCAAAGGATAGTATAAATTGATAACTTAGTTTGCAAAAATGAATTTAAATGAATTTACAAAAAGTTAAAATAAATAGATTATAAATGGGTAATTGGTTACCCAATTCATTTTTTGACTTACCCATTTATACTCATCTAATTAAATGGGTATAAATGGGTTAACTCACTTATACCCATTACCCATTTTACCCAACCCAAACCCGTCCAAATCACCCATTTTGACACCTCTACTTTTAAGCAAACAAACCTAAGCCCTAAGCACCATCAAGGATAATTTATCTCAACACCGTTTCACTTCCTAGTAGGTGCAAGAGAGATTACATGGAAATGCAAGGCCAGTTTTCACTCTCTTTAGTTTCTAACAGACTAGGAAGCACTGCAACAATATACTTCATGAAGGGGGTTATAAGCGAAGTTTTGATGTAATACTACTGTTTTTTTTCCCATATTGTTTTCCTCATTGAGCTATCTAATTAAGTAAAAATAAAAAATAAAATTACTGTCAGTAAATCTAGATTGCTCTAAATGAAAGCAAATCCCAGGCACTGGTGTTGCAGTAATTCCAATTCAGTTTGTTCAATAGACTGGGCTACAATAGAGGAACGCTGCTCTATTTGAGCCTTTATAGTTGTACCCAACTCTTCTAAGATTTGTGCCATAGAGCAGGCCTCAGCATTCTGCTGAGATTAACTGAAATTAATGGTACGAATATTGATTTCTTAGATAATTTTAACAAAAATAGAAAAACATAAACAATTTCTACATCTTTGAATATTTTTCAAACATGTGTTAAGTCATAAAAGTTGCAGTGTACTAATATCTCATTAGTAGACACATAATAATATGTAGGAGAAGAACAACCTTAAAATAAATTTCGTGATGCTATCAATGCAGGTTTTACACAGGATGATAATTAATTTATTAAGGCATATTTAGTCTTATCCTAGTAATTTTAAACAATAAAAAAAATCGACGAGGTTACCTATTTAGATAATTAACTAAAACCCCTAGACCATTTTCTTATCTACTTTCCCTTTGTTTTGGTCTTTTGCGTTTGCTCCTAGATTTTTTTTCTTCCCTATTTTAATTATTTATTTTCGGAGTTCAAATCATAGTTATCAAACCCAACACATGATGGTTCAAGCGGTCAACTCAATGAACCAATCACTTAATTAGGTCGAGTTACTAGTTGGACTAGATAAGAAAGTAAACCATTGAAAAATCAATGACCGGTTGATTCGACCAATGAAAATCGGAAACCTAATCACTTTTTGTGTAACCCAGTAGTTTTCATAAAATTCGTAATATTGGGTAGTGAGCTTTTTTGTTTTCTCTTAAGTCTTTTTTTTTTTTTTTAAATTAAGGGATTGAAAACATAGTTGTTAAGTCTAACCCAGTTCAACAGAACAACCTAATGAATCGGTCACTTCAAAGGGCCTGGTTGGAAATTGGACCGTCTAAGGAAGCAACCAATTGAACAGTTAGCTACCTATCAGTTCAACTCGTAAAAATTGGAACCCTAGCTGCTCTTTGTATAACTCATGATTTTTCAAAAACTTCTCGATATTAAGCTAGTGAGTTTCAAACATATGACGTTTAACTTGATTAGTATCCTAGAACTTATAAATTAAGTAGCAACCATTGGACCAAATGTCCTTTTAGTGTTTAGTGGACTATTTTATGTATTTTGTAGAATCTTGTTGGTGTTTTATTAGATTGGTGAATTTCGGACATGCTATCTTTTACTTAATTAGTATGCTAGAACTTACAACCTAAGTAGCAAGTGCTGGATCACAATGCCACCCTGTGTTTAATGGACTCTAAAAGTTGCCTATTCAAAGTTTCAAACCAGTTCACCTAGAATACTAAAATCACTAACCAGCTAAACCGGTCTCCTTGTAGATTGATCGCCGAATTGAGTTTAATAACTATGAGTGATAAAAACTCTTATTCAATTACAAGAAGCAAAGCGAAATATATTTAATGTCTTTTCCAGCACTTTTTTTTTTGAGTTGTCATTTTGCACTTGTTTTCCTATTTCCTATTACAGATAAAGCAACTATCCTACTTTTGGTAGTTAAACAAAAAAAGAGTTTCACTTTTTGTTTTGTACTTGTTATCCTGCTTTAAGATAGGTTTAAAAGGGAGACTTCACCAAAACCAATCACTTCTCCAAGTTTCCTTAGAATAATCTAACACCAAGTCTTTTGTAATAGGTTCAAGTGATGGGCTTCAATTTCACTCATATCCATATATAGTGTTTGTTTAAAGTCAGTCAGGATCAATTATTGGGTTTCATAAACCCCTTCTATGAGTTTCATAATTAACTACTAAAGAATAAAATTTGGCTTATCTATTGTTTTATTATTATTAATAATCCATTGCTATAAAATTATCAAACACTATGAATTTTTTTTTCAAATTTAATATATTCTCCAATTTATCATACCCATCGTAACATTGATTCTAAAATTGAAATCAAATGACTCCTTAGGGGAAACTTCTCTCTTTCTGTCGTGAATAAGTAGAAGCTTTCTTAAAAAATCCATTAGGAGAGAAATCAAAACGAGAAAATTTAATCTTTGTTTTCTACTCCAATAAGAGAAATAAGGAATTGGTTTAAGAAAGTAGATATATGTGCATATGGAAACTCAATCAAACTAGAAATATTTTTCAAATTTCAACTTTTCCAATAGTAAAAGAGTAGATTACTTGTTGCAAAAGAGGTACTTAAATTTTAGATTAAGATTGTTATGATGTAACATTTCCTTTGTCCATGTCCACATAGAAAGTGATGCACTAGTGATGAAAAATTCGGTGATACGTAACGTTATTCTTCTTTTTTTTTTTTTTCTTTTGGGCAATTTTAAGTTGGTTTATGAGAAAGTGTTGAGATTTAAGCGGATAATTAGTTGGCCTTTACATTGGGGAAATGTTACATTGAAACCTGCCAAGAACTTTGTGTGCCGAGAACATGTTTGTTAGAATCTTCCAAGATTCTAAAGCACAAATATTTAGAGAAGCAGGGATGGCTTGCCAGCTGTATTTTCAAACTCGGACCAAATTGACTGGTCCAACCGGTTGAACTAGGAACTGGTCAGGCATCCGATCTGAGTTCTCTCGTAATATTGCCTGACAAAATCCTGGTCAAAAGCTGTGTGTCGACCGCAAACCAACAACAACCTGCTTTTTTTTTCCCATTATTTCCTTTTGTTTCTTTCTTTCTCTCCTCTTCTTCTTCGACCAACTTGAGTACCAACACACATATTTCTTCCTTCCATTAGCAGGTATCCAACCCATCAAAAATCACCCTTAAATGCATTTCTTAAATTAGATCTTATCATAGATTTGATGTTAAAAAAAATGGTAAAAAGACAAGAAGAAAAAGGGAGATGGAGAAGAGAAGTTTGAAAAAAAAAAAGGATAAAAAAGTTTTAGATTTTGCAACTTTCGAGCAAAAAAACCAGCAAAGATAAAACTAACCAAAAAAAAAAGAAAAAGGAAAGAAGAAAGATTGACTTTGAATTGCAGATAAGTTGGATAGGAAGAAACTAGGAAAAGAAAAGAATGAATGAAACGGCACAAGCAAGTGATGAGAGGAAAAGAATGAAAAAAAAACTAGGAGAATTAGTTTTTGCGGGTTCAAAATTTTATCAATTTTGTGGTTTGGCCCCTAGAATGCTAGAAAACTATTAGTACACCTAGAAATATTTTATAGTTTATTCTATTGTCCTAAATTCTAGTATTACGTTTCAAATAAGCCCTCCAATTGAATTCTACACTCGTTGAATATGCATTAAATTGTATAGATTGCTACTTGATTGCATTACTTTATTTGTATTTTCTTATAAAGTATTTTAGAAACATCAAACATATACGAATATGCATTTCTTGATATGAATACGTTTCTAGAAATTTTACATAGTATATTAATTTTAAAAATTAAATATATTTATAACATCATAATGATGTCGTCTGATTCTTATTAGATAGGCCGTGGTATTATATTTTGTTTTATCCTTTTTAATCCTATTCAAAAATATAAAACATAGAAAGAGTGACATTTATGGGAATTACGACTCCGAATCCTAGGTCGCCTTGTCTTCCCTCTCAATAGTAAACTGCCACGTCACCATCACCCACATCCTTATTTTTGTAATCTTTTTGAAGAATTGGCTGGGCTGGTTTATTATCATCCCAAGTAGGGGTGGAGCTGATTCAAGCTACTCGACTCGAGCTCGATATGTACTCGATCTCGAGCTGCTCGTTAGAGCTATCGAGTCGAGCTCGAGCTCAGAAATTTGATACTCGAGTATCACATAAAAAAATTAAAAAAAATTATATATAAAATTACTAATATAGGTAAATAAATTCTGAGAAATTACCGGTGAGTACCCTTATCGAGTCGAGCTCGAGCTTTTTAAGGACTCGATCGAGCGCGAGCTCGAGCTGTGATTCTCCGACTCGATCGAGTTCGAGCTCGAGCTCGAGTATAATTATATTATAGCCGAGTCGAGCTCGAGTACAGCGGTACTCGAGCTCGACTCGACTCGAATACACCCCTAATCCCAAGCCAATCTTTTCAATCAAAATAGCATAAGAATTCTTAAATTACCAGTTCTTTGCAATCAAAGCTTTTCCTCTTTCTTCGGAGGGATTCCTACCCGGCAGACTTCAGAAATTCCGAAAAGAGGGTTGGACAGATTCAGATGTCTGATGTCAAATTATTACTGGTATTAAGTGGCATTAAGTATTGAACCAATCTTTTATGTTCTGTCTATTACTACATTTTCTCTCGGTTTATACACACTTTTGTAATGCCTAGGAAAAAAATGGAGGAAGAAGAAGGGATAGATAGATGTGCCGTAGGTAGTCGCAAATTTGACTAGTTGGGACTTGGAAACGAAAGCCAAGCCAATATCTGCGTCATGTCTCACATTTGACTAGTTGTGGGGCTGAGGATCGGAACCGCCTATATCCATCCAATTCATCAGTTACGTAATTTTATACAATTTTCCTTACATGTAAATGCACTGGTCCTTTCCTTTCAAAACTTGTTTTCTGCATTTTCCTTTTGTTTGCTTCTTCATCACCAAGAGTCACTCTCTGTCATCTATTTTTATCACTAAGCGCATTTTCCTTGTAATTTGCACACATCGAGTTTGTCTTTCTCACTAGTATTAATAATTTCTGATAACATACAAGATCCTGAGGTCAGTCCCTGTTAAAATCTGCCATCAGCTAAACTGGAACAGGCAAGATCCTTTTAGGCGAGCATCAGCCGCAAGCATTAGAGTCTTATCCACAAATGCCCAGTCTCAACATCTAAGCTAAGATTTTCTTTGCCTCCAACATCTTGTGAACTGCAAAAATCCCTTGTCTTTTCTTTTTGTTATTTTATCAAATGCCGAACTGAATAGAAGGCAACAATGTCAAGCATATATCCCTGCTTGATTTGGTGAAGCGGCCAATGCAAACTCTTAGGACCAATGTGATGTAATTTTCTTTTCTTGTTGAAAGTCTAGAAGTGGTCCATCTCTGTTCAAATTTAAAGCTGGCATTTTCAACTCTTAGTTAAATAGAGTAACCATTTAACTTCTGATCCCTTCAATTATTCAATAGTCCAATCCCTCTTTGTTTTCAAAATCCGCCTGTTTATGCCATGTTGGTGCTCTATATATATAACTGATTAACTCTGCAGCATAATTTTCCATTGAGTAGATAGATAGTAGCTAAAGAGAAGGAAACATGGGAACAGTTGATATTTCCCCTAGCAAAATTCATATTCTTGCTTTCCCTTTTCCTGCAAAAGGTCATATAAATCCTATGTTACACCTCTGCAACCGCCTGGCCACGAAAGATTTCAGGGTTACACTGATTACTACAACTTCTATATTCAAGTCTGCTAAAACCAAAACCATCGGCTCCATCAAGATTGAGTGTATTCCAGATGACTCCGATGAACCCGTTGAAGAAGATCTCAAAGGCTTTTTGGCAAGGTTGAGAGCTGCTGCTTCCAGAGGCTTGGAAGAACTGGTTGAGAAATGTAGAAAGACTGATCCGTATCCTCCCAGAATTGTGATTTATGACTCAACTATGCCTTGGGTTCTGAACTTAGCTCATCGGGTGGGACTTCGCGGTGCTTCTTTCTTTACTCAATCTTGTGCTGTTTGTGCTCTTTACTACCATATGGACCAGGGAACAATACAGCTTCCTCTTGATAAGGCTGTTACTGTAAAATTGCCTTCAATGCCAGCACTTGAAGCAATGATCTTCCTGATCTCCAGTACTTCCCTGATCCAGATAGTGTTCACGAGGCTCTTCTTGATCAGTTCTCGAACATGACAAAGTTGATTTCATTCTGTTCAACACTTTCGAAGAATTGGAGGATGAGGTAAGTTGGAAATCCTAATTATAATCCAGTGAACATACATTATGATGGATTTTTTTGGGTGATAATTCATGTAACTTTGTCAAACTATGTATACTCTTGGATGGGCATAAGCAAAATTTTAATCATGTGGAAAACTTTCTCTTTTTTTTTTTTAAGAAAACAATTGATTTTGGATGACTCCCTAGTTTGTGCTAGTATTGTCAAATAGGATATTAGAATCGGCAATTAATTAACGTTGTACATAAGCGGATTCAGAGATTCTTGATCGTGTTTTGGTACCCACAAGCACTATTCTCTGATAGGTTGCCAAATATATCAAAACTGAAAATTTAGCTAGTCTCCAAATGCCGTGCCAATTGGGAATCCTTTAATTCCTTATTTACTTCTCTTTTTCCAAAGAAATGTTGTGTCAAATGGTCCACCTTTTCCGATTTTCAGTACTTGTTAATCATGCTACTGCTACTTTATCTATCAGGTGGCAACATGGATGGCAGAAAGGTGGCCAATTAAGACAGTTGGACCAACAGCTCCACTACTTTTTGTAGACAAAAGACTACAGAATGGCAATGATCAACAAGGGAACTATCTGTTTGAGACAAACGCTGAAGCTTGCTTAAAATGGTTGGACGAAAGAGAAACCTGTTCTGTAGTTTATGTATCGTTTGGGAGCGTTGCAGCGCCCGGAGAAGATCAGATCGAGGAAGTGGTAGAGCCCTCCTGAGGAGCAACTGCAAATTCCTTTGGGTAGTCAGGGAAGAAGAAGAGAGTAAGCTGCCAAAGAATTTCAAGTCTGAGTCTTCAGAGCAAGGCCTAATCATAAACTGGTGTCCACAACTTGAGGTTTAAAATTTGGTGTCTACAGTTTGCCCCTCTTTGTCTGAGTTTTGAAAAAACTTGAGACAAAGAAGTAGACACCAAATACTTACCTGTGTTATTCGGCTGCAATGGACGCTTCTGAAATGAGGATCGACCTCTTTAACATTTTTTTTTTTTTTTAAATGGAATTGACCCAAACAGAAAATTAAAACGGGACTGACCCGAGCAGAAATTTAAAATTGGGACTGACTAGAGAAGGAAATTCAAATCATGGGACTGGCCCGAACAAGCTTTAATCGCGGGACTGACCCGAATGAGCTTTTGAATCGTGGGACTGACCCGAATGAGCTTTTGATCGAGGGACTGACCCGAAAATGCTTTTGATCGAGGGACTGACCCGAATGAGCTTTTGATCGAGGGACTGACCCGAAGATTCTTTTGATCGAGGGACTGACCCGAATGAGCTTTTGATCGAGGGACTGACCCGAAAATGCTTTTGATCGAGGGACTGACCCGAATGAGCTTTTGATCGAGGGACTGACCCGAAAATGGCTGTTTTGATCGAGGGACTGACCCGAAAATGTTTTTGATCGAGGGACTGACCCGAATGAGCTTTTGATCGAGGGACTGACCCAAAAATGCTTTTGATCGAGGGACTGACCCGAATGAGCTTACCCGAAAATGTTTTTGATCGAGGGACTGACCCGAATGAGCTTTTGATCGAGGGACTGACCCGAATGAGCTTTTGATCGTCGGTCAGTGGGATTAAGCCCGATCCTGCCGTGACGAAATTTGATTCGATTTTTGTTTTTGATTGATGATTTTTGCTTCTTTTTGACTTTTCTTTTTGACTTTTCAAAATCTTTACAAAAAATTAATTTGCCCCAGTATGATGAATTTTTGCTATTTGAGTCCAGAGTTGATTCTGTATCGCCATGCTGTTGCATTTTTTGATGAAATTTGCTTGCGACATTTTCAATCTGCCTTTGTTCACCGGAGGACTCTTTCCGACACCGATTTCAGTGCGAGGTGTGATTGTTTTCATCCATGCATGAAATTTCCTGCAAAAGAGAAAAAACAAAGGAATTGCCACCCTTATTTGATCCGTTTGTCCTTGAAAATCGTGTAAACATGAGTCTTTGGATGCCTTCGTCAAAGTTGACCGTGGCATCTGACTTGGTTGGATTTGTCATTTCTAAACGTCTCTGATTTTTCCCGACTAGCCGAGCGTGCATTTTGCCATATTGTGAAGCTTGCGTAACCGACCTTGCTGAATTTCAACCATTTTCGCAAGATGACTGAACCCAAGTATGCTTTGAATAAACCATGGGGTTATCATTCACCAAAATTCGATGATTAAAAAGTAATTTCACCTATCATGCAGAAATGAATATGTGAAAGAATGCAAACACAAACCATTTGTGCTTAAAGCCTACAAAAATGCCATGAATACAAGCAATTGAGAAAAAATGAGCTTCCTAAGAATGAATTTGCTAAAGAAATATTTTTACAAAACGACACAGTTTTGGCCAACGGATGTCATATTCGAGTTCCTGAATATCTTTGTTCTGCAATTCGACACTGGCAGAAGTATTATGAAGAGAAATTCCAAATGAACCAAGTCATCAACTGTTCTTCCTCGTGTTTGCTCATTGAAGAAACCTACCTAGCGCCCTTTCGGGTTTTCATCAAGGTTGCCCCCACCCCCTTTTTTTTTTGTTTTGTTTTGTCTTTTCTCTTTTTTTCTTTTTTTCTTTTTTTCCTTTTTTTTTCTTTTTGAGGTGCCCTTTCGGGTTTTTACGTAAGAAAGCAATGGAAGAGCTCAACCATAATCGCCTCAGAAGTATGAGTTAAAGATTTCTGACATCAGTAAAATGCACTTCCCTTGTAAGATTAAGCGAAGGCATTATGGACATCACTTGTCAGTTGATTAGCAAACTTTCCAATAGAAATATAGCAAGTGACGAAAGTCAGGACTTTGGGCTTTTGTAATGGAGTCAGGTGGGATATGTCAAGAAAAGTTAAGGCTTGAAAACAATTTGCTCTTATGAGAGGTGAAATAACCTGAGATTGCATCATTTGAAATCATCTTCAATTTCGAACGAAACTGAGGGAAATTTGCCCCAGTTTGATTGAATTTTCTCTCTTTGCTTTTTCCATTGCATCTTCCTCACTTTTTGCATTTTTCTTCAAAGCTAAATTTGCCCCAATATGGGGTTCTCTTTTCCTTTTCATCTTTTTTTTTTGATTTGTCTTTTGGCCTTTTGCCATTCTTTTGAACTTTTTCAAAGATTTGCCCCAGTGTAGGGTTTTCTGCTTTTTCTTTCTCTTTCAAAATAAATTTGCCCCAGTGTAGGGTTTTCTTTTCTTTTGATCATCTCTTTTCCAAAATAACTTGGCCCCAGTGTGGGGTTTGCAACTCTCAGGGGCTGCCAAACGAAAATTACTGCTCTGATGGCTCAAAAGGGATAACTAGGGATGAAATGTTTTGATTGAAAAGGAAGATGGCTTGACTTTTACCTCGTCCCTTGCATGATTTCCAAAAGAAATTTGCATAATCAAAAATAAAGACTTCTTACACATGTCTGATTTGATAGGTTGAGAGAATGTTTGCCCATCCATCTCTTCAGGGATAAGTGCTCCACTCGGTGGCACCTTTTTGAATGACAAATATTCTTACCAGTTTAGATCAAATTCGTCTTTGACTTCATCTTGCATTGGCAAAACTCGCTTTAACTCTTTGTCCTCCTTCTCTAAAGGCTCGGAGGCGGACCTTTTTGTTATGAACACAGGCCACGCACTTTGATAACATTGGCCATGGCACATAGCGTTCAGTTGCTTTTCATCCATCAAAATCAATTGTCGGTGACGCTGCTTTAATCAATCAGCTTCGAACTTGGCAAAGAAGGGATTTTCTCAATGAAGAGATTTTTCAATTAAGGCTTCCTCAATGAACGAATTCTTAATAAAGGGATTTCTCAATGAAGGCTTTCTCAATGAAGGAATTTCTCAATGAAGACTTTCTCAATGAAGGGATTTTTCACGAAGAAATTTTTGTATGAATGGTATTATCGGAATCCAGAACAGTGATATTCAAATGGTCAAATAATTCCATCTTTGGCCATCTAAAAGAATTAAAAATTCGGGACAATAATCAAATAAACAGAAAAAACAAATGATGCATTTGATGGAAAAACTAATCAAAACGGAAACAAGAAAAAAACTTAGTTGCAAAAGATGTTTTCATTAAGCTATTCACATATGCAAGAAATGGTTTTCGTGAACCTTAGTAAATAACAACCCCTAGATTTACCGAAATTCCCTTCGAGAGGGAAGATACTCAGCCATTCAAATTATGCAAAGCTCCTTCAGGATTTTCAAATTTCGTCATTGGAGGTGGATGCTTCGAAGGTGTCCTTGTGTTCAGGGAAAGGATTTGTACTTATGCTCGGCCCTTGTTCACCTCTTTTCCTTAGCATTATTTCCCCTGCCTCGATCATGTCTTGGACTTTGTGCTTGAGTGCCCTGCAATCGACGGTTGAGTGACCAGGTACTCCCGAATGATAGGCACAAATAGCATGTGGATTGTACCCAGCAGGCATGCCATGAAGGTAGATTGGAGGGGGAATCACACCTATTTTGTTGGCAGCCTTCAATTGCTCATACAATTGGTCTAAAGGCCTGCCTAGGTTAGTGAAAGTTCGGGTACGGCTTTGATTGCATGTCTGAGTGGGTCGGGGATAGTTGTAGGTGGGTCTATTTGGTGGGGAAAATCTTTGGTGGTAAGGGGGTCGAGGACGAGTTTGTTGAAAGCTTGGTTGAAATATTTGGAAAGGAGTTGTAGGCGGGTTGGCATAATTTGGCCGAGGTCGAGGATGGGTGATATTGGTGTGGTAAACAGGATGAGGGCTTAAATAGTAAGAGTAAGGGTTTGAGTAGGTAGGGTATTGTTGAGGTCTGGGTCTTGGGACAGGGTTTTGACTCCAGGTGAAGGTAGTTTCCCCCTCTTGTTTTTTGAATTGTTGCTTCTTCCCATTACCTCCTTGGCTTTGCAAAGCTTCCACTTGAGTTTTTAGGGCAGACACATTAACAATTTTTCCAGCCTTCACGAAATCATCAAATTCCTCAAGTTTAT